TTCTGGAAATTTTCAGCCCTGGTTTAAAAAACAAACACCAGTTAGAGTCAGCTGAGGAGCATTGCACCTGATTATGGGCTAGTAAATTGAGAGGTTCTTCCTGGAGCTTGAGTCCCTAGTCTTGCCCTTGGGTGTGACCCAGGGTCTTGTTGGTGGGGAGGAGGTTGGGGACCTTGGGCTAATGGGTCATTCTGGAGGTGTGCCAGGTAGGAACTTGAAGCTCTGAGGTGAGAAACCCACTTGTCCTCCAGGTGCCTCAGTAAACACACCCAGGACCACTAGGGGGGTGCCAGAGCTAGCCCAAGGCTCCATCACCTGCGGATGGAGCAGACCCACTCGGAGCCATTTGTCAACAAGGGTAGATCTTAAATAGTGACAGAAGGAAAAACAAACCCACAGTATCTATAGAATATTATGTATGCAAATTTAAAACTCATACAAACAACTGTTTTTTAAAAAAACAAACATTCCATTTATGAGGTACCGAAAGTTGTCATATTCATAGAAAAGCAAGAACATGGTCTCTAGAGACTGAGAGGAGGAGGGAATGGGGAGTCAGTGTTTAATGGGTACAGAGTTTCAGTTTGGGAAGATGAAAACATTCTAGGGATGGGTGGTGGTAACAGTTGCTTAACAATGTAAATGTACTAAATGCCACTCAACTGTACAGTTAAAAATGGTTACAATGGTTGTAGGGAAAATATAGGAAAATGGTCAGGGCCCCTCAGATGTTCAGAATCTTGCCAAGCATTTGATGTAAATATGCACGTGTGCTCAGGTGTTCCTTGGCTATTGTCTGATGTAGATGCATGTGGGCACCCGGGTGTCCTCGGTTATGGACTTAAGTATAAAGGTTGAGTGGCTCTGACCCCGAGGGCCTTCTGCCCCTGGAAGGGGGCGGGGGCTGTTGCTGCTAGTGCTCCCGGGATGCCCTGACAGGCCACCACCACTGCTGCTGAGCTCGTGTCATCTGCCAATGGCTCCCAGGATCTTCCCCAATTACCTAGCGTGGACCTGCGTGTGAGGGGTCTGGTGACCCAGTCTGTATAATAGGTTTGAAGGGTCTGAGCCCTAGCCCTGACAATACAAACGGAAACTTCGTATAACTAAAATAGTGAAACGTTTTGGCTTTAGTTGTGAGATGCCTAGCCATACAATTGGCAATGGTAAATTTTATTCTATGTATATTTTACCATAATAACAATAATAATAAAAGACATACCTTATAGACTACCTGTAGAGGGTCGGGGGATGGAGGAGTGGGAACAGGGATGAAGGGGAAAAAACTGGAAAAAATACTTGCTGAGGCGAGCGCTGACAGTGTTCCAGTGAACCGAGGGTGGGGTGAGCTCAGCTGCAGCAGCTGAGAGGGTCCTGAACTCTTATTTAATATTTCTTCTTTAACTTGGCTCTTTTAAATGGCTTAGGTAAATTTGTCAAAAGTGCAGTTTATGCTAATACAACAAACGGAAAACCCAGATGAGCTTCCCTGGCATAAGGCGCCTCTTCCCCTTTCTGATCTGCCTTTAAATTAGCCTCATTTCGACTGTGGGTGGAAGTTTTCTACACTGAAGTATTTATCTCTATGTATTTAAGATTAATTCCCTAAACTCCTTTCCACCCCTCCACTGATGTCTTATCAGAAACTGCTAAGTAAATACGGCTGATTGCATGTCCTTCTCTGACCTCCCCTCCAACATCGTGTTTTTTGTTTTGGGCCGTTCAAGCACAAGCAATATTAAATACAGTTGTTCTGCTTTTTAATCCATTGTTTAAAAAGACCCAAGCCATCATTTTAAGTCAGCTGTTCATAAAAACAAGACATTTATAAAGTGTGAACAAATTGTTAGTGAGGTAAATAATGGGACTTGGAGTGGACTCAGACCATAAGCAAATGAGAAGGGGTATTGCAGAGCAGGCCTGCTAGCAGTTTCAGTGTTTCCTGTTTGTCACCTTGCTGTCCACTCAAGGCAGCAGATGTAGGGCTTTTATTCTGAAGCTTATGGAATCCCACGGACGTTTGCAGTCATCACCTGTAAGTTGTCTTTCCTTCCCCTGTGATGAACATCTCTCAGACTGGGAAAGGCTGTTGCAGACACTGACCCCCCGAGGTGGGGACTTGGGCCAGAAGTTGGATGGAGAACTGTGCTGTCTGCCTGTCTGCGGGAGGCTACAGGGGTGGGCGGTTGGGACCTGGCCTGTTGGTGAGAAGGCCCCAGGCAGAATGTTCCTTTGTGTTCTAGCCAGTTTGGTCTTTCAAAAGCTCCTGGGCTCTGAGCTCTGTCTGCCTAGCAGTTTGGCTTGGTAGAATTTCCATGGGCTTCAGAACCAGACAGATCTGCATTAAATCACTTCCTAGTGCTTCCTACCTTGTCAGTAGAATGGGTATAATAATAGCAATCTCATGAGGTTGTTGCGAGGCTGAAATGAGGTAATGGGGTTTAGTAAGCCTGTGTCCCAGAGCCTGGCACATAGTAGGTGCACAGTAATGGTACTTGTTATTATTTTGTACATTTTGGGCTTAGCATAGCAGCACATCCTCAAACCATCCTGCATGCGTTAGCTTTCAAACTCATGGTAACAGGATGACTCTGTAAAGTAGACATTGCATCTGCATTAAAGGTAGGAAGGAGGAGGAAGGATTAGGACATGTCGTCTCTGTTGCTTTTATCCAAAAGCAAAAGCTTTACCAGAAGCCCCCAGTAAATTTTTCATGGGTCTAGTTGGCCAGTCCATAGTTACAAGGAGGGCTAGGAAAATGATTGGGAAAGAGGCAGGATTGTTATGACTTACCCAGACATTTTTCATCATATTGCAGGATTCTGGTAGTGGGGAAAATTGGGTAATGGCTCATGGGACAGCAGCCCACAGTGTCTGCCCCAGAGCGGTTGTCTGATTCTTCCTGATGGTTTCCCTGATGCTCTGACAGCCTGCCAGTGTGATGTCAGGGCAGAAAGGAGGAAGGAACCTGAGGCTGACTTAATTTTACTAAGAGGGTTGGATAAAGAAGGGATGCTTCCAGAAGCAAAACTCAGAATTCCTTCTCCCTACCCCCAAAAGTTTGCATGCTCTGTTCCCTCTTTTGGAAACACTCTTCCTTCTTTTCTTCTTTGGGACACCAAATTCATCCTCTACTTTTAAGCTTTCTTCTGGGAGGTTGCCCTGACCACTCAGGTCTGGGGGAGGGCATGTTTGGGGCCACCAGAAAAGGAGAAGAGGAGAAAAGGAATAAATCATGAGTTCAAGGGACAGCCCAAGCCTCCCTTAGATGGGGTATGGAAACCAGGAAGGCTTCATGGTGGAGGTGGCTTTATTCATTTATTTAACAAACATCTCAATCTCCCCCTCTGTGCCAGGCTGTGTGATGGGCCCTGGGGAATCAGGTGAGCAGAAGATGGCAGACAGTATGACAAGCTGTCCTGAGCCAAGAGAGGCCCATGTGGCTTTGGAGATTTCGATAGGTGGGGACATGCATGTCCCCTAGACATGCCCCTTTGTAGTACCAGCACCTCTCCCCTGTCCTGATACTGGATATGGAAATCAGGGCCAGAGTTGATTATGAGACAGAAGTTTGAGTCTGCCTGATGTGGAGACAAGAGTAAATCCTAGAAGTCATTTAGGCCTCATTGTTTCATCTCATGGCCCAGCTCTGCTTCTGGGTGCTCAGCTTTAGAAAAATCTAAACATCAAAAATCCAGATATATTTCTCCAGTTGGAGAAAGGGGTTTGCAGCATCAAAAGGTTCCTGTCCGAGCACAGTGGTATTGGGTCGAGATCATGACCTAGTCAGTGATAAGGCTGAGAGGCCATCAGGGAAAGGCCACTATGGTCAGAGGCATAAAGAGTGGTGAGCTCCAGCGACTACTGAGTGTCAAAAATGATGGCAATAAATGGATGGAAAGGTAGGTTTCCATTCACAGAGATCCCAATTAACATCAACTGTTGGGCCTTGAACTACTGCATAAAAATGGTCCCCCTGGGTTGTATGGAGGAGCCACAGCACTTATTTTAAGCTATAAACTATAAATGACTTTAACACCACTTCATCTTGCATTATTTCCATGCTGAAATCAAAGCATTTCCGGGCCGGGTTTGAGGCAGGATGTGTCTCCCACTTGTCTGAGCCCTGCTGACAAGGTAGCACAAGGCAGGGACGAGGCCTGCGAGAATCAGCCAGTAGAACAGAGATGCCTCCCGCAGTTTCCCTGGCCCTGGAGCTTCTTTCTGCCGTTGCCCCCTCCCTGCAGCTGATTTCTTCTCAGGCCTGGGGAGACCTGACTCTCGGAGGCTTGTCTTTCTGGGGTGGAATTGACGTAGACTCAGAGCTGGGCTACAGTATGAGCTTTCACCAGCAGGTGGTGCCCTCCCTGCCCTGTCTGCTCCATGATTTCTGAACCCTTTCCTGGCACCCCAGACCCCCTTCCATTCACCAGTGCCACACAGTGTGGCCTTCTGGTGACCTTACCTTCTGTCATTACTGTTTTCCCTCTATCTAGACTGTGAGCCTTGCCAGTGGTGGCTGGTGGCAGGGGGGTAGATACTAGGGTTCTTATCTCTTTATTTCCAGCATGTGACAGAGTGCTTGGCACAGGCTGGATGTTCAGGAATTGTTGTATGAAAAAAAGAATGAAGGAAGGAAGGTAGGGAGGGAGGGAGAGGTGAGACAGGAAGAACAGGAAGAGACAAAGGGACTTATAGTCCAGCATGAAGATTCATTAGGTTTGAAGTATTCTATAAAGTGAGTCAGCTTCTGCATAACAAGGTAAGTTTTCTCATAACCAGGGGTATGTCTTCACGACAGTGTTGATGCTGACTGTCTCTGTCCTGGGAACATGACAATCCAGGCAGGCAGCTAGGATGCTGGTAACTTACACGTAGGTGTTGTGGGCAGGTATCACTTACTATTTCATGTAACTAGCAGTTCAGAAGCCATCAACTTGGTGAATCCCATCAGTTGCTTTTGAGACTATGACGGCATTTCTTCATTCCTTATCTTTCAGAGTGAAACATCTTTCAACCTAATATCAGAAAAATGTGACATTCTATCAATTCTTCGGGATCATCCTGAAAACAGGATTTACCAGAGGAAAATCCAGGTGAGGCTGAGGGTTGGGAGAAGAGGGTCCTAAGTTAAATGGGCTGGAGTTGAGAGCAAAGAAGGAGGTGCCACTCTGAAAGCAAAAGAGATTCATAGTTTGGACCAGGTTCCTGGACAAATTAAAGGACTCCCAGAATATTCTGATGTTGGGTATTTGCCTTAGTGAGAAATCCTTATAGTTGCAAAAAAAAAAAGCAATTTTTTTGTGAAGCTAGGCACTGTCTGAACTGCTTTGTTTACTGCCTGACACTTTGTTACGGCCCTGTGAGGTAAGTACTTTTATTACCCCATTTTACAGCTGAGGAAACTGAGGCACACAAATTAAATCCAGTTCCTGAGTGGATTTGAACCCAGGCAACCTAATCTCATAAGCCATATTCATAACCACTGTACTAGGGGCCTCAGGGGGAGGAGGAGGGGCGGGGAAGGCCACTCCAGTGGGGCTAGGGAAGGCCGCAGGGAGCTCACAGGATAAGGGCGGGGGGAGCGGGCCCTCTCGTCTTTCTGGGCATGCCTCTGCTGCCCTCCTCCAGAACGGGCTTGCTCTGACACTGGCGGAAATGCTGCCCAGCCACACAGGACGCTGCCCTTCAAGTCCCTCTCAGCCACATGGCGCAGTCGCTGGGCCGCATTACTTATCCTGAGACTCTGATTGGTCCTGCTTGAGTCAGGTGTCAATCCGTGGCTAAGGATACTGGTGTCCTGTGATCCAAACGCAGCTGTGGGGAGCAATCCTGGGGCTGGAGTAGGGGCCGGGCAGCAAACTGCCTCTCGTGTCCCTTGGAGCCCTCATAGGACCTGAGAACAGGATCTTTAAGGAGCACCTCCTCCCCACCAGCCTGCCTTGGGCCAGGTTAGCTCTGAGCCTTCTCATGGCCATGGTGGGAGCAGGGACTCCCTGATCCCTTGAAAATCATTCTCTGCTGTCCCAGCCCTGACAGCAGTGCCACAAGGCAGGAGAGGGGATTCCAGGCCATTTTAGAGGGACACTAGGCAGCCAGGAGCAAAGCCAGAGCGGGGGGTGGCATGGGGAGGGCCAGCCTTTGGGCAATGTTCTGAGGACTGTGCAGACTGCCTAGTGGGCCCGGGAGGTCCTCCCTCTGGACTCTGTAGTCTCCTCTCCACCCACCAGCCACACCGAACCCCGCACTCCACCTCCCCCATGGCCTCTCTGCTCACAGGGGCCACCCCTGCCACACACCCCACTTCTGCTGGCTCCTGCTGCTCTCAGTGCCACTCTTCCAGGAAGCCCTCCCTGACTTCTGAAGTCTGATGATGCCACTGCTCTGTGTCACCCCAGCCCTGCGCCTCCCCTGTCCTTTGTCACCATCATCTAGTCATCCGTCTCTCTCCTGAACTAGAGGGTCTGACACACAGTATGCTGTCAGTGCATTTCTGTGTTTGTGGAATGAATGAGGGTGGGGGAGACCAGAGGGACAGTGGTCTGCAGGGATAGAGCAGGTTATCTGGGAGAGGTGGGGGGCTGGGGCCTGGGCAGGCCCAGTGCCCGATGCCACATGAGAGTCATTGATGCTGCAGATGTCTATATCTCCTTCTCTCCCCCGCAGGAACTCAGCAAAAGGTTCACTGCGATCCGAAAGACCAAAGGGGATGGGAACTGCTTCTACCGGGCCTTGGGCTATTCCTACCTGGAATCTCTGCTGGGGAAGAGCAGAGAGATCCTCAAGTGAGTGGGGCGGGCTCCCTGGGTCTCCAGGCTGTATTCTCTGTGCTGAGTCAGCCCTGAGTCTCCCCAAGGGTTTTTCCTCCACTCAGGCTGGTTAACCCAGGGGGTGAGCTAGAGGGCCACCTGGCAGAGGCGATTGATGTTGGGGAAGCCTCGCTGCCCACTGTGGCGGAGTTGAGGGCAGTGAAGAGGCCAGGGATGGAATCAGTGACCTTCTGGGCACTTTCCAGTCCTCTGCTTCACCCACAGGTCTTGGTCAGCCCAGGTGAGTCACATTAGGCAGGTACTTGGTGACTCCAAACAGAAAAGAAAACAAGCAAAACAAAGAGAAGCTTTGCCCTGGTGTTCTGAATAACCCCTGCTGGCCTTGGTCTTGAGTGAGTGTAACCCAGATGTTTGCCTGGTCAGGCCTGGATGTGAGGTTAATGTGGGAGGAAGTCTGTCTGTCCAGAGCCACGCCCCAGAGTGATCCTCCATTAGACCTTTGTACTCTGACTAGTTCAGGGCTTCTCGTACTTGAACCTTTGTACAGACCACCTGGGGTCTTGTTAGGATGCAGACTCCCGTTCAGTAGGTCCAGAGCGAGGCCCGGGCCTCTGCATTTCTCACAAGCTCCCAGGAGATGCAGATGCCGCAGGGCCTCAGACCACCCTTAAGGAGCAGGGAGCTAAGAGACGCACCTGGTTCTTAACTTGGTGAAGGCTGCAGCTCTCATAACAGACACGTACCCCCCACGCTCTGGAAGTGGTACAGAGGGGCTGCGGGTCATGGAGCCCTCGGGCTTGATCTGACGACCCGCATTGTGAGAACCCCTTTGGCTAAGGCAGACTTCTTGACAGCAGCACTACTGACGTTTTGGGCTGGATTATTCTCCTTGTGGCAGGCTGTCCCGTGCATTGTGGGCTTTTAAGCAGCGTCCCTGACCTCTACCCACCAGATGCTCATAGTAACCCCCTCCTCAGGTTATGACAATCGAAAATGTCTCCAGACATTGTCAAGTATCTCCTTGGGGCTGGGGGGTGGGGAGGGAGTGGGAATGAACCATGGTTGAGAGCTGCCAGCTTAAGGCATCATCTCCTGTTCAAGATATAGATTATCTCAAAGCAGGTAGAGATTAAGCCATTTGTTTCTCATTGTGAATGAACCGTCAAATCATTTCCCAAATGACAAGCTGGCTGAGCCCCTTTCAAGGGAGAGTCATCCATCTTAGGCCATTCCCTTCCCTCACCTCCTCACAGCCCTGAGGATCGAGACAGCACAGTGCAGGGGTCACCACCCCAATTCCGTCTTTCCCACGACTATGACCCTGAAGTTGTGTCATGTAGTGGCCCTGGGCTCTGAGGTCAGAACTCAGCCTCTCACTTACTAGCTGTGTGACCTTGGGCAAGTGACCTGACTTCTCTGAGCCTCCGTTTCCACATCTGTGGAAGGTGGGTAATGCATATCCCTGGTGTTGTCATGAGGACTTGGTGAGTTGATGCTAGCAAAACCAGCGCCGCATCTCTCTCTGCGCCAGCCCCTCGTGCTTGCTCTATTCACCGTCAACCCCCAGCCGCAGGTCATTGCAGCACATGTCGGCACACCAGGGCCTGTGCCGGAGGCTTTCAGAACACTTTCTTTGAGGAAAGCCTCTGTTATTGCCCCCATTTAGTAGAGGAGTAAATCAAGAAAAAGCTAAGTGACTTGGCCAAGGTCACACCAAAGCTGGCGTGCAACCCTGACTTGTCTGAGCTTGCTCTCCGAGCCCCGGTGCTGTCCTCCTTCACCTCATCCCTCCCCTGCCTCCTGTGAGTGTGTGTCCTGGCCTTTTGCCTCCTATTTGACTGGGCCTGTGTGTCACTGGTCCCTGTGTCCCCAGTGCCGGACACAGAGGGGCCTGCAGTCATTGGTGAGGAGTGAATGTGGGAATAAGGCAGAGGTCCTGGAGAAGGGAAGTTGGGGCAGGGGAGCCAGGAGAAGGGCTGTGCACGACATTTCAGGGACAAAGTGACCAGGAGAGGGTGCGGGCCCTTGGAGCGGCTCCAGAGCCCCAGAGTGCCTCTTGGAGCTGTTGCCCAGGCCATAGCTGAAGACAGAATGGAGGGGTGGGGGCAGAGAGATGACGCGGCTGCTGTGGAGTCAGCTCCTTGGCCTCCCATTGCGTTAGGCAGGACTGACCATCACATCCCTGCCCGGACCTGAAGGGGAACACCAGCAGGTGCTGGTGGAGTGACGGCAGCAGTAGCCACAGCAGAAAGCATGTCTGCTCGGGTACCTCTTGGTAACCCTCATGGCACCCCTGCCTTGGCAGTGTGTCGTCACCACCCACACTGCGCAGAGGGATTTAAGGGGCAGGCTGTGGCTAAAAGCAGCACAGTACTTGTTCCCTCCACTTTGGGTACCTCATCCCCACACCTGTCTGGGCCAAATCAGACTCTTAGATACAACCCAGGACCAGCCAGGGGGAAGGTCACCTTTAGGCGAAAAACGCCCCCTCCTTTTAAGAGATGTTTTCCCTCCTCCTGCCTCCCTTCCCCTCTCCTGCTATAAGGCACTATGCCTTCCCAGAGTACAACAGCTTCTGAAGCCACCCCAGGCCTTTGTCCTTGTGCCTTTATGCTCCTCTGTGAAAACTCCCACCTTCCAGGTCCTTGTTAGTCTGGTCCCCTGGGCTGCTGGGCTAGAGAACCAAGCATGGGTGTGGTGTTCTGCACGGGCCAGCCGTCACCCTGTGTGGCTTACTTGGGCCTTGCCTGGGACGCAGCCTTTGATCCATGGACTATGGATACTTGGGGCTGCTGAGGCCGGGCCTGGGTTCCTTGCTGTGCCCCCCAGAGTACCAGGGCAGGTCCAGAAAGGAGCCGTGCCATTAGGGGACCTTGTGGTGGGAGCAGAGAGGGACTATCCAGAATTCCCAGTGAAGCATGATTCAGTGCTGGCAAATGTTTCACAGCTGGCTGGGGGAGAGCATCCTGATTTGTGGTGTTAGCCAATTTTTGTGGTGTGAACACTCTAATCCTGGCTGATTTCAAGCTCCCCTTGAGGTCACTGAGTAGGGAGTTGAGAAAATATGTAAAATACCATGCATTAGTATTTCTACCACACATACACAGTAGACCTAAACAGTACATAGTAAAGAAATGATGAATTTTTAATACTTATTATCTTTGTTTCTTGGTGTACTTGTAAGTTTACATCATTTTAGTTTAATAATTACCTATCTGGCAAAATTCCTGAAAATTGAACAATAAACTCTTATGAGTGGATACAAATGGCTTTAGCACACCCCGAGAAGAGCATCCCCGGCAGAGGGACCGTCAGACAGGTGCTGAGGGCAGCAGGGCCAGGAGACAGGTTATGTGAGAGTATGCCACTCCAGAGGTTCCCACAGAGTCAGGAGGAGGAACAAGGGAAGGCTGGGCATGGTCCAGGCCAGAGATGATGAGAAGGCAGGGACCATGGGGACAGGAAGGAGAGACAGTCAAGAGACCTTTGAAAGGTAGAGTCAGTGTGTCTGAGTGGGGTGGTGATTACATCCATTTCCTCATCTGTGAAATGGGTGTAATACTCCTCCTCCTGGGATCATTCACAGCCGGGAGCACAGAACAAGTCAGTGGATGGTCCCTGTGTATGGTCCTCCAGCTGTTAGTGACAAACCCCTCCTTGGGTTTGTATGGGGGCTGGGGCAGGTGCAGTGGGTTGAGTGGGAGGAGCAGCTGCCACTGACAGCCGCTCCCTGTATTTCCCTGTGAGTATCCAGTCTGCTCCCCTTTAGGTTCAAAGAGCATCTACTGCAGACCCCCAATGACCTTCTGGCTGCCGGCTTTGAGGAGCACAAGTTCCGAAACTTCTTTAATGCTGTGAGTCACCTGGGCCACGACAGCTGAGGAGCTGGGCCTTCCACGCTGGTAGAGCAGACAGGAGCAGGCACTGGCTGGAGCCCCTCAGCTCACAGCTCTGTGCTGTGCTCCACTTGCTCCTCCTGGCTGGGGAAGAACACAGGGTTGCTTCCTGCCTGTGGGGATGTGTGGGCACACGGAGCCCAGGGCTCTGCCCTCTCTCCGTGGGGAGGCACCTGCTTCACCCCCATCCCTCTTACCCCACACCCCCATCCATTAGTGATGGGGACTCTGATATGTACATAAGAATCACAGCCCAGAGAGGAGGGAGACCCAGCAGCTGTTCCCTACACGTGCTTCTGGGCTAAGGTACTGAGGACAAAGTCTCTCTGACCCCAGTTACTTCACTTTGGCAGAATCTCAGGTTTATCCACTGCCTCAACTTGAGAATCTATAAAGGAATATATGCACCAAGGGAATCCCGGAGGGAGGGCGGGCAGGCGGGTCTTGCCTGGCCTGCCCTGGCTGATGGCAGGTGGGCTGCAGTTTTACAGCGTGGTGGAGCTAGTAGAGAAGGATGGCTCGGTGTCCGGCCTGCTGAAGGTGTTCAACGACCAGAGCTCCTCGGACCGAATCGTGCAGTTCCTGCGCCTGCTCACATCCGCCTTTATCAAGAACCGAGCAGACTTCTTCAGACACTTCATTGATGAGGAGATGGACATCAAAGACTTCTGCACTCATGTGGGTCCCTGGGGTCTCAGGCCTTGGGGATGCAGCCCCAGCCCTGGGCTCTGCTCTTATCTCTCTCTCCTACAGACTTGGGTCTACACCCTAGCTGGGGGACTTGGGTGTCATGTCTGCACTTGCAGTTCAAGCAGCACTAGGTTCGTGAGCTGCAGACAGGTCCTCCTCAGCTGCCTGAATTATGTGGCTTGAGACAAGTCACTTCCTCTCCCTGGGGACTTCCCCTCTGAAAAATAAGAGCCTGTTGATAGAATTGCAGAGTCACAGCCTCAGAGTAGTCTCATTTGCCCCAAGACATGTTTTTGTTTATGATGTATGGTATTTACCAGAAAGTGTTGCCAGCATTTAAAAATTGGGCAGTTTTCCTATGGATTTCTGTATTTCTCTTAGAAAATCAGATCTCCCCAGGCCCTAACTCTTGCATGGCAGCATTAGCAGGCGCTAAATAGCAGCTGCTTCTCTACATGGTGCACATACACCACTTACCACCATTTCTGCCTTTCTCTGTTGTCCTTCAGCATCCAGACTTACCCCTCCACCCACCGGCTCACTTGCCCACTCACTCACGCACCACTTACCTACTCACCCACTCAGCCAATAACTTTCTTGGCTGCCTGCCCACCTACTCGCTCACCCACTCATCCACCCACCTGCCCACTTACCCACCCACCTATTCACTCACCGGTTTGGCCTCTGTAAGCACTTAAGCTTGGAATCCCTTGAGGACAGGATCCCTTTCAGCTGTAAGATTCTTTGATACCCAACCTGAAAAATTCTTGCCCCCCTATTCAGATTCCTCAAAGGTAGTGACCTCTTCTCAGGTATAACTAGAGGGTCTGGAATAAGAAAGGTTCAAGTCTTGCAGTTCTAGCGATTTCTAGCTGTGTTAGTGTTACTTCCTCTCAGTGAGCCTCAGTTTCTTTTGTGAAATGGCGGTGTCAGCACCTACCTCACGGGTGGTTGTGAAGATTACTTCCCAGCATGTATGGCTTGACTGTGACCATGAGAGTCAGTGTTGAACTCACTTGTTCCCTGCCAGGCCTCCTTCCTAAGCTGGCTTGTGTTTTCATTTTGGCCTTGCAGGAGGTGGAGCCCATGGCCATGGAGTGCGACCACATCCAGATCACGGCGCTGTCTCAGGCGCTGAACATTGCCCTACAGGTGGAGTATGTGGATGAGATGGACACCGCCCTGAACCACCACGTGTTCCCTGAGGCTGCCATCCCTTCCGTTTACCTGCTCTATAAAACATCCCACTACAACATCCTTTATGCAGCCGATAAACTTTGATTAATTTTAGCCCATGCAGTGGAACCTGTCACCTAATGGGACTGACTGCATTCTGAATGGAACATTCTGGCTTTTCAATTTTTTAAGCAATTAAGACTGTAGCTAGAAAATGTACAGCCTTTTGGGCAAAGCCACTGGGAATGAGACCTACCCATTATGGACTGTGGTAAATTTGTGGTATTTATTTATTTACATGGAGGACCAAATGCTTTTTAACTCTGAGCCAGGAAGCCAGGGCCCCTAGCTATGTACCCCAGTTCCCTGTGAGACCATGGGTGGGTCATCAACCCTCTTTGGACCTGTTTCTTCATCTGGAGGAGGCTCTCACCAGTACTAACATTCTGTTGTATAAAAATGGGGACCTCTGGTTTCTCTTTACCAGGCATAGTGCCTCTTTGCTGGGGAGGAAAAGCTCAAGGTCAACTGTCTTGACTCAAGTAACTTACCAGGTCTATAAAAAAAGAATCCAGTCTGGTCAGTTGTTGGACTGGGCTTTTGTGATGGCTGACTGAAGTAATGGCCTATTGAAGCCAACTTGAATGTGAGGGCTTCAGTGTGGTTCCAAACATTTATGATGGGTGTGTTTTCCTATCCTTAGGAGAAAAAAAAGAGACTATGCCAAAGTTCAGAAAGGGGCCTTTAGCCTTCATAATGAAGCTTGGGTTGTTGGGGCCCCCTCTACCTCATTCAGGGCCAGAACTGCCTGACTCTCAGAGGGCAGGCCCTTCAGGGTTCTGCTGTCAGCCGACCTACACAGAGGATTGAACAAGACCAGGGTTTGGAGCAGAATTTGTGTATTTATGTCTGGGACCAGGAAGTTTCTGCTGTCCCATCATCCCCAACAAATCCTAGAAGTAGAGTCTAGATACTCAGCTTGGTAGAGATATCCACATGCCGCTGTGGACTCCAGTTGGGCAGAGCGCACGTTTTGTTGTGTTTGTCTCTGGCTTTTCTCTTTCCCCCTTCTGTTCTTATAGGCTGGTGAGAAGTTGGATTGGAAAGAACAGAGACAAGCCATGGAAATTGGCAGTCGGGGAGATTTGTTATGGAAAAAACTGCCTAAGATCACTGGCCAGCAGCTTCCTCATTCATCCACCTGGACATGCCCCTTTAAATAAATACTCACCTGCTGCTTCAGCACCTCCAAGAGTCCATCCCTGGGCTGGCAGGCAAGATGGCACCAGTGGAGAACAAAACACTGGCTGGGCTGAGGTGCTGCAGGCAAAACTTCTCTCACTGCAGGAAAAATGGAAAACGCAGGGTGTGGACTTACCCTTTGGCGTTCATCTCTAATCGAAGGCCACCTTCTCATAGGCTTCATTCTGCAGGGATTTATTAGAATCTATTGGTGCTGCTGTTAGTCTGCTGACAACCAGACTGTGCGCCAGGATTGGGTAGCAGGCTCCTCAGAGTCCTGTTTGCACAAACGTCCAATTTATATTACTCTGTCTTGGTGAAAAGCCAATAGCACTCTTAGATGGCAGGAGGCTTTAGTTCCAGGCAGGGACCCTTGTTCCCATACTGCCCTCAGCTGGAGTTTGGACCTAAGGGCTCAAGCTAAGTGTTTTTCACTTTACACAAGAATGTAAACCTGACCCTACTCTGAGGAGGAATGTTGGGGTCAATGACAAGTACACTGGAAGAGTGGGGTAGAACACACATTTGTGGATATCATCCTCTTTGCCATACATGTCTCCAGGGGATGTTTCCACACTGATGGGTATAGATACAGTGCCCGACTGATACCCTTAGCTGCTCTGAGGTCTTGGAAGATGGGTCCTGGGACTTGCAGCTGGGATCTTGAGCACAGCAACCTCTCATTTGTGGTTTGTGTGGTGTTCTCAAACACGGAGCTCTCTTTGGCAGAATGGCTGGGAAATTCCCTGAGACTTGCTTATGCTGTGCTTCCAGGCCAGAGAGCACGCCGAGGCTCATAAGGGACCCTCTTCCCAGGAGAGAATTTTTCAGTTTAGAATCAGGATGCCCAATCTCTGCAGAGGCAGGCCAAGTTCTGTTAATGGTTTACCCTCTGCCTTTCCCTTTTTATCACACAACCATTGGCCAAATCCAAACCATTGCCCTTATTCCCTCCACATTTGCCCTCAGATTTTTGTCTCTAAGGGAGAGCACTATGGGGGAAAAGGAGTGGCAGGATTTAGTAACTTGTTAAAATCAAGTCATCCAGGGACGTTCCTTTGCTTGCTACAGCAGCCAATCATGCTGGCAACCACACTTCTGGATAATTCTCCACCCTCCCCCTACAGAGCCATCTCTTTCCAGAAGAAAAGCTGGAAAGAAACTTGCTTTGAGAGCTTGTCTTTACAACTGCACATTTATTACTTTCTTTATATAGAGGAAATTTTATAAATCAGTGGGAATATTTAGCAATAGAAGATTGTTCTTGCTTTTTTGACAGGTCCTGTTTTATGCACAAACAAAAGGGCTTTGGAGCCAGAATGCCGGAGTTCAAATTTCAGCTTTGCCAATTACTAGTTGTGTGAACTTGGCCAAGTCACTTCACTTGAGCCCCAATTCCCACATTTGTGAAATGGAGAAAATGCTTACACATCACAGGTTTTATTGGTTAAAATGGAATGAGATTGTGTGAAAATGACTGTTAATATCTGACACTTTGTAAGTGCTCTACAAATGGCATGCTTCTCAATCTATCCTTCCCAATACGAAGCATGCCACCTTGGCAGTGACTCTGTCATTGCCCTAAACAGTGGGAGCATCGGGCTGGCCCATGGCTCACTCGGGAGAGTGCAGCGCTGGTAGCACTGAGGCCGCGGGTTTGGATACTATATAGGGATGGCTGGTGCGCTCACTGGCTGAGCATGGTGCGGAGAACACTGAGCCAAGGGTTGAGATCCCCTTACTGGTCAAAAAAAACAGTGGGAGTGGGAGCATCAGGGGAACCATGAGACAAGACTAAGAGCCAAACACTGCTACCTTGAGCAGAAACGGGGATGGGGGTGAGGGAACTGTGGCTGAGTGGCTGCCGGGGGTCCCAAGCCCTACAGATTCTGGGCAGTAGGTGAAAACATTTTCCATTAAAATTGTTTCCATAACTTTTGTCCTGGCTTCTTAATATTGGGTACCTAACATGGACTAAAGAGCAACACTACCCTCCTGTAGGGCTTATGTGTCAGTGGATTAGCTGGGGAGGGATGCTCCTAGATTAATGGCAGATATAGGACACACAGGAAGATCTGCCCATACGCTGCCTCACAAAAGCCTCATCTCACCAGGTGAGAGAACTGGAAGGCTGTCCCTATCTTTTATAAGTTGTCTACTTAGCTCCTCCATAAAATAAAGAATTTGCTGTTAGGGGGCAAGTGCAAGATATTAGCAGTCAACAGGGGATCTATATTCAGCCTGTGACAAGTGGCCTCAAGCCTCCCATGGTTCAGGTGCTGCTAAGGGACCTTGAACCTACTAATTAACCCTCCTGACCTCCACTGCATTATTTGGAAAATGGACAGTCTCCCTGTTGTCCTCTGACAGCTGCCAGTGAGCTGACACACAGACTGGGGGCACTTTCTTTTGGCTGTGTTCTGCTTTCACCTCCTGTCCAGGTCAGCAGTGACACTGGGGGGCAGGGGGAGGGGCATTCCTTGGCAACACTGGTGTTAAGACCAAATCAGTTTTCTGAACTTGCTCAGAGGAAGATATCCAGAATTCTAATCCCAGCTCTGCCACTTGGCTGCTGTGTGACCCTGAGCAGGTCTTCAAACCACTTGGTGTCCACTTCAGCTGCAAAAACAGGGTATTAAGATTCAAGACTCAGGGCCTTGAGGAAGGTTGAGTGATACAGTAGATGAACATGCCTAACAATGCTTAGCACTTGGTCAACACTCACTGACAGGTGAATCTGAGTTTAGGCCAAAGGCCAACTGTTCTGTCAGTTACTCAGAGGGGCTAAGGGAATCCTGCTGCCATTCTCCCAACCTTGCCAACCATGAGGCTGAGGAAGGCCAGTTTATCTGGATCTTGGAGTACCTAGGTTCACTTGCATACCCTCTTCGAAATCAGTAGGACCCCTTGAACTAAGCAGCTGAACTGTGCCCTGATGAACACTTGTTTAGAAGCCCAGACTGAGCTGTGCAAAAATCTGTGCTTCTCCCATGGGTGTGGCAGTTCTTGCTACTCAGATTGACCCAGAGGAAGCTGGGGCAGCACCGGGTCACTTGTTCCCCCCAGCACGTATTTGCAGCAGGCCCTGACCCAGGCCTTCAGGGTCTCTGCCCCCAAGGAGCTCAGGCAAGAGAACACAGTGTGGTAACTGCTATAAAGATGGTAAGCTCGGGGTACTGTCATCTCCTGGGAGATTAGGACATGGAGGACACATATAGTAGTGCTCCAGGATGGAGAAGGCAAAAAGCAATCCAAGCTGAGGGAAAAACCTGTATTGCGCAAAGGCTCAGGACAAGAGAAGGGATGCATGCAAACGTGGGCAGGAGCCCGTTCTGTCACACGGAGTGGAAACGAGGCTTGGCCCAGATCCTGAGGGCCTTACATGCCAGACCCAGAAGACTGGTACTATTAGCTCTAGGATGAGAGGAGAGCCCCAGGACAGCAACCTCTTCCCTGCCTACTTCCCAGGGTGGCTCAGACAACAGCCAGCAGCAAGTGGGAGAGAGCTAAGGAGCTGTTAGGGCGCTGCTGTGAGGAACAGCAGGAACATGCGCTAAGGCCCCAGCAGCAATGTTCTATAGTGACCGCATCTCTCTGGCTTGCTGCTCATCCACACTGCCAAACACTGGCCTGCAGTCAGAGGCCCAGGACACTATTCCTACCCTGTCAAGGACCTAGCACTGTGCTGGTCCAGGGGACTCACTAAGTTATCAATAAAACAGACAGCACTGCCACCCTCATCTTTTGGCTAAAAAAAAATATCACAATGACACACTGATTCTAACCATTGTTTTTAATTTAGGAAATCAAGTTAAACACACACGAAGCTATGAACACTGAAATACAGAAATATTAAGCTGCTTCATAGAATTCCTACTCCAAAATAATGCAAATCTGCATAAGGTCTCTTCCATTATGGGGGTGAGGTGGAAGAGAGGGAAATTTTTCTAACTGGGGTTGATGGTGGAGTTAAATGCAAGGGTGGGAAAAAGGCTCTCAAATATAACCAGAGAACAGACACCACTGTTTGGTCACCAACACACTGACCAGAGGCAGTTAATTTGCACTTGTACTTGGTTGTGGGTGTTCTTTCTGCTGCTCGTTTGGCTGTTTCTTCTTCTGTTTGGAAAGGCAGCTCAAAGCAGACTTGCCATTCCTTGGGGCTGACATGAGCAGGGGCAGCTTGCCAGACTGAGTTGGATACTTGGTTTTCAGGTCCTCTTTAAACAACGGTTGGGAGAGCAGATGGCGGAGCTCCTTCTTCAGTATCTTCATCTGCTTCTGTCTCTGACGTTCTTCTTGTTGGTCAGCTTTGCCTCCTTCAAACGCAATACAAAAAAGATAACATGTACCGTGGTTTATAGAAATATTTTGTTTCCCTTGATAGATAATGAGAAATGTTTTAGAACTACTTTAGGGATGCAAGTTCAAAAGTTCTCCACAGAAGCTAGTGATGACTTGACAGGAAGTGTAAATGGATAACTTCTGTTTAGGAGGGACGTGCAGAACCGTTCTGTCCTTTATTACTCACAAAAACCCTCTGAGACAGGAATTATCTTCATTTTACAGATGACACAGGCAACTCAGACTTAGAGAGGTCACTTGCCTATGGTCACAGAGCTAGCTGTCAAAATGAGATCCGAACCCAAGTCTCCTGACTGAAGATCAGTTTTCTTCCTACAACCCACTCATTTGCTGCCCACTTGGACTTTGGTGACTCAACAGCTACAAACCCTTCAGGGGATAGTGAATGCTTCCTCTGCAGCCCACCTCTCCTATATCTCACCACCAGTGCTGTAACTGCATGTGCACAAGTGGGCATAGCCAAAGGGCTCAACCGCAGCGTCTCCTCAGGAAGGGAAATCAGGGCCTCCGCACGTTTAGCCCAAGCTTGAGCTACCAGGAGAACTAGCTCACTGTCACCAAGTTCACCGGTTTGGCTGCTGGTTTCCATGCTGAGCAGACAGTAGCATGTTTGCCTCTGAATTTGTAGACTTTGGCACTGAGATGCCAACACCTCAGCTGAGCTGCACACTTGATGCAGTGGAAGGAGCACTGGCCATAACTTTGGTGTTGTCAGTTCTAGAAGTGATTCTATTAATTCTAAGATTCAGAAGCTTTCCTAAGGAGGGACCATAAAATTCACCCCTGATTCCTAAGCGTCTGGCCCACATATAGAGTAGTGGCTCAGTAAACATCTGGTGCTAGAGCTGTTTCTCTGAACAAACTGCTTCTCTCTGAGCCTCTAGCTCCCATAAAGGACAGTAATTCTCACTTTGTTCATGTCATGAGACTGTGGAGAAGATCAGATGAGATGATGACATGGAAGTGCTCTGTCAGCTTGAAAGGCAGTTGTAGTAGTAACAACGATAGTAAGTAATGTTAACTTAAAATGTATCCAATACTTTCTATTTCCCAGGCACTGTTGTAAAGCACTCTCACTTCTTAATCAATCTTCACAACAACCCCATGTGGTAGGTAGTTTATTACCTCCATTTTATAGATGAGAAAAGTGAGGTACGACAGAAGTTAAGTAACTTTATTCAGTCACACAGCCAGTTAAAGGAATGGGCTGGCATTCAAACACAGGCAGTCTGGCCAGAAAGCCTGCTCTCTTCATCATCGTACTCTACTGCCTGTCCAGGTAAGAGGGAGGCAGTTGAGGGCTCGAGGCAGAGAGACAGGCAAGACAGGAAACAAAGGCCAAGAGCACTAGGCTCATCTGGGACTAGGGACTTCAACAAAGGAAAGGATGTCCTGCTGATTTTTTTTGGTGCTGGCTGGTATGGAGATCTGAACTCTTGACTTTGGTGTTGTAACACTATGCTCTAACCAACTGAGCTAACTGACCAACCACCCTTTGCTGATTTTGATAGGACCCACAGCAGTAGGGATAGTACCAACAAGGGAAAAGTTGAGGGGAAAAAAAAAGAAAAGCTGCACGTACCTTTCCTCAGTTCCCATCCAGCCCAAGAGCTTACCCTTATACATCTCTTCTTCTAGCTCAATCTCGAAAGCAGCTGCTGCCTGCTCGATCCAAGAGTTGTGCAGACAAGCCTGGAAATTTCGATACTCAGCTTTCTCAATCTGTCGAGCTAAACGAATTCGCTCCTAGGGGAAAGGAACAGAAAGTATTCATTTGATAGAGGGTTAAGGCCTCTGGGAAGTGAAGTCTCACCTAAGTTGTGTTATTAAAAACCTCTTGAAGATGGCAGAATAGATGGTCCCCAGCGTCACTCTCTCCCACAAACCAACGAATTTACAACTATAAAAATGTAACAACAGCCAAGCTGGGGCCACTGGAGCTCAGGGGAAGAGGAGGAGAGACCTACGGAATTCAGGAAGGGGGAGAAGCTACAATGAGAGAAAGAAAAAACCACTTGGAGTGTTTTTGGCTGCGGCCACTTTAAGGCTGAAACTGCTGAGCGCATGGAGTGGGAGCCAGCAGAAGCCACAGCTGTGCCCTTCAGATGGAGTTACTTGGAGGCAGCAGGGGAGAAGAGAGCCTTGGTAGCTTCCAGGACAGCAAGACCACTAACAGGGTTCCTGTGGACCCACACAGGAGCGAGGAGCCAGAACAGCTGAAAAAGGGGACCCACTCAGAGGCCAATGAGTCAAGGCAAGGGACCGGCGCAGGGCCCGTCCTATGGGAAGTGTTTGGAGCACAGGCAGTGGGGAAGACGGGTACACTGGGAGAATACTGGGACACAGCAAGGACAGCCAATCCGCCCCCCAATCAGCGCAGGACCACTCAGAGGAGACTGGTTAGGAACACAGAATTGCATGGGGTGCAGTTTGATGAAAAGATTCAGGCCCAGATCAGAGTTTCTATACAACCCAGGTGCACCCAGTCCCTAGAGAGCTGCAAGTACCTATAAGGTCAACCATTAAACCCTGAGCTGCACAAAAAGTCTTCCCTTGGGAAACAGCAGCAAACCAGCAATTTAGCTCAACCACACAGCTCAAGTACTGGTTCCAACAGGAAGTTTCCCTGTTTTAGAAGTAAGCAAAGGACAAAAAATTGGTTCCGGCCCAGGCACACCACCAGCACCTCAGGGCCCATCAGGGGACATGAGGCATGGAGCCGAGGACTGGACTCCCCCTACAACCGGGCACACCACCAGCGCCAAGGAGCATGCCAAAAACATCACCTCCATGTAGGTGGCTCACCACAGCAACAACGGCTGCTGCAAAAGTGGCTAAACGTCACAACCACCACGCAGATGGTCTGCCAGTCACTGGAGTGCATTGACAGAAGGACAGTCACCAGCAGAGACCAAAGAAAAGAATAGGATGTCTTTCTCCACAAAGACCATTCCAGAGTGACAGAAGAAGCATCTGCCCTGTGATAATATTGGGGGACATGAACAAACCTTTAAGCATTGCACAGATCATCTAGGCAACAAATCAACAGAGTAACCACTACTCTTTCAGAAGAAAAGAAGAAATCTAGGGTTATCAGTGGTGGGAAGGGGGAGGGAAAGAGGGACAGGGAGAGATTGGACAGGGGCATAAAGAATAAGTACAATTTGTAACAATACACATACTAATAATATTGTTTTGATCAACATATGTCAACACTGAATCCCAAACATATGTATCATCAATTATGATTCAAAAAAAAAAAAAAAAAAAAAAAGAAAGAAAAAGAAAAAGCTCTTGAGATCAGCAGTCAGTGAGATGCAGCTCAGGTCTTACTGAAATGCATTTGTTTTGGTTCCCGATAAAATCCCAGAGGGCAATCATTACACATGCAATCACAAGAGCCAGCTTTCCCAACAATAAACTCAAACAGCTCTTCCCCTTGCAAACCCTTCCTGGTCTGACTGCCAACCTACAGGTGTCCAACATGAACTCTTTCCCAAGATGCCATAGCTGGCTTCCATAGCTGAGATGAAACATTTCAACTCTCCTTCCCGTGGGTTTTGGGGTAGACTGCAGTGAGGATTCAAACTGAGATAATGAGAGAGATCTTGTTATGTGGGGGAAAGGAACCATGGGAAGCCACAATTCTTCTTACTAACGAGAATTCTGTGATATCCACCGTCATTGCCCACCATACTTCCCCACACATCTAGTATGCTTTTTGAAACAGAGGAGCCAAGAGTCCTTAAATTGTTCCATGCTTTTCCTCCCTCTATTCCTCCCCTTTTCTCCCTTCTCCCAGGTATGGTGCTCCCAACTGTTCTCCCTGATTAGCTGTTAGTAGAACCATTCCTTAGTTTCCAGGAGCTATGTTGCCAAAGTCTCAAAGCAAGGTGCTCTGTGAGGGAGCAACACAATCCCCTCATTAGCACTAGGGTTTTAACTTTTTACCTTGATTGCATCCATGTACTTTGTTTGCACAGGGAATAGTGGGATGTCCTCATCTTTCTTGAGGGTTTTATAAATCTTCTTAAAGTTGATCACATCCTCAGGCCCAATCAGCATCAGGCTGAGGCCTTCATTGGTGGCTCGAGCCGTTCGACCACTTCGGTGGACATAAATCTCTGAGGTGCGAGGGACCTGCCAAAGGAAGAAATGTGAGGTCAATACCTGACTATTGCCAAACATTGCTCTTCTCCTTGGCCACATCCCCAAACTGGATCCTCCTCCCTCCTAGCCAGGCAGGTAGATAGAAATCCTCCCATGCCTCCCATCCTGGTTCAGGTCCTTCTGACCAACCATTCAGCGGGACCATGGCAGTCACTTATTTGGTCTCTAGTCCTCCCCACTCCCTCTGTCCCAGCTCAAAGCTGGCAGTGTCATCCTGAGTCTCAGCTCTGACCATAATACTCTCTCTAGCTAAAGAAACTTCACTGGTTCTTCACTAACTCTTCATGGATGATTGATGATGGTAATCATAATCAACATTTATTGAGTAGCTACATTACACCAGACAATTCTAAGCACTCTGCATGTGTAACAATAAGCACCTGCAACAATAATATAAAATACATGCTTTATGATTACTCATATTTTATGGACCAGGAAACTAAAACACAGAGAAGTTAAGCAACTCCCTTTAAATTACCCAACTCAATGGTGAAGCCAGGATTCAAACTGAAGCAGTCCAGCTCCAGAGATCATGTTAACCTCTGGGCCATACTGCCTCTACTCCAATATATATTGGATATATTATACATGGACAATGTGGCATGGGTGCTGATACCTCTCTCTCCTCCCATTCCCATGGCACACACTACTAAATCAAGCACAACAGTCTTCTTCACTAAGCCGATACATTTCAGTACTTTTTCAATACAGGACTCTAAGTGGCCACTACGAACTGTTCATAACAGTTCTAGAAATGAGATCTATCTGCCATTCCTCTCTTATAGGATAAAGGTTCAGCTTCTTAACTTGACATTCAGGGCCTTCATTGACCTGCCCCCACTTACCCCTCCAACCTCTGCAATTCCTCCTTTCCCATATACTTCTCTTTTTACTCTAAACCAACTACCTGTGAACACTGCCTATTTCTACATTCTTACGTCTGTCTTTAAATGCCAAGGGTCTTTTAGAAAGCACTTTCCTACCTCTCAAACTAGAAGTTACCTCCCTCTCTCCTATTACATTTTACAACTTCCTGATATCTTTTGCTTACATTACGGCTGTACTCATCTCACCTCCTCTACTGAGTTTGATACTTCTTGGGGGCTGGGACTGTATTGAGCTCATCTTGACAGCTCTCACAAAGGCTTACCCAGCCTTTCCCCCAAAAGAAGAACAGAGATTTGCTAAACAGAAATTGGCAGCCTAAAAGATTTTTAAAAGCACAAAGATTAAAGAAGAAAAATAATAATGCCATACCATTTATTGAGTACTTACACTCTGCTAGGCGCTTCACAGCATCAGCTCAATTTAATTCTCATGATAACACTATGCAGTAGGTAGCATTATTACTCCCAGTTTACAAATAATGACACTGAAACCAGAGGTACTAAATAACTCGGCCAAAACTATGAAGCAGCAGACCAGGGATTCAAAACCCTGGTAGTCTGGCTCTGGGGCCCATACTCCTAACCACAACTCTATGCTGATATTACGTGCATGCTCTAATATTATTACTACTATCAGTAAGTGCTCACAGGCTTTCTAAGCTCTTTATACACATTAACCTTAAAAAGAACCCTAAAATGTTGGTTCTATATAGTACCTGCCATTTAAATGAGAAAACTGAGGTACAGAGAGATTTAATAGCTTACTCAAGGTTACACGGCTGGGATTTGAGCCCAGGGACATATTAACTACCACACACTCTTACGCTTCTACGCGAGGGTGACCTCTTTACATACTTTACTTATTATGCCCATCTCATGGATGAAAATAAGACTTTAAACTGTTGACATCAAGAAGCTTGCCCAAGTCAAGGAGAGAAGGACTACTTGATATCAGACAATGCCAAAAAGTTATTCTGAGACTAAATCTCACCAGCAGTAGACATTAGATGCTAGTGGTATTTTTTTTTGCAGGGTGCCTTGGGACAAACAATTCCTCATCCCTCCCTCAAGCTTTCCTTTAAAAATTCCCCATTCAATGCAGGGAAATGCCTACAAATTCCCAAATGCCCCTACCTGGTAATGGATGACATGCTGGACTTTAGGAATATCCAAACCCCGAGCGGCCACATCTGTTGCCAAGAGAACACAGCTGTGGTGGAGAGAAAAAGCTCATTAATAATTAAACTAACAGCTATCATTAATCAAACTCTTACCACCTGCTGAGCACTCTAAATACTACAAACCTTACGAACACCTTATGAGATAATACTATTATCTCCCTTTTACAGATGAAGAAACTGAGAATCAAAGAGATTAACTTCTCAAAGTATGTACATGGCTGTTCAGTTGTGGAACAGGCATCCAAACCTGGGTCTCACTGACCCCAACCAACATGCCACACTGCAATGATAAAAGACCCCTCCACAGTGAATTAAATGAGGCCATACTACATGCCAGGCATGCTCTCACCTCCAAACCTTCGCACTTGCTACTCCTTAGGCCTTAAAGGGTCTTCACTCTGATACCCATGTGACACGTGACTCACTCTTTCACTTTCTCCAGCTCTCTGCTCAAATCTCTTTATCAGAAAGCATCCCTGACTACATGCACCTAGTCTCCTTTCCCCATTCCCAACTCGACTTAATTCTTAGCACCACGTGATATTCTGTAGACTTACTTTCAATTCACTATCTCCCTCCACTAGACTGTAAGCTCCATGAGAGAAAGAACTTTGCATCACTTGCTGTTGTATTACTAGCACCTAGAACAGTGCCCGGATCATAGTAAGCACTCCATAAATATGTGTTGGGTGATGTCTCTTAATGTGTGGTTCAAGGACAGTCAGAAGCATTTGAGGTAAGTCTTAAAAACTTAAGATTCTGGGCCCTTCAGGGTCCCTACTCCCTGTATATCTGAGCAAGGCCTGGGGAACGTGATGCAAGTTAAAGTTTGTAAAACTTTAAGTCAGGGTCAGCAAACTTTTTCTGTAAAGGGCCGGATAGTAAACATTTCCAGCTTTGTGGGCAATACAATCTCTGTGGCCACTATACAACTCTGCCATTTCAGTGCTAAAGCAACTACAGATGATACATAAATGCATCTTGTAGTATTCCAATAAAACTTAACTATAAAATCAGGTGGGAGGGAGGGAAAAAAAGTCAGTGATCAATATATAGTTTACCATACACTGCTCTAAGCTAATCCTAGTAAACCACTCATACTACCTACCAATATTCAAAGGGAGGAAAACCAGACACTTGTTCTAGAAACTAATCACCCTGTGACCTGACGAAACACTGTGGGGCAAAAGCCAATTTATAGTCTGCCTGAATTTCCCATGCTCTCATCTTTACAATCTGTACCCTGGGCCCTGGGCATCAGTCTGGTCCAAAGACAAATGGACAAAGCATGATGACATGCAGCATGGGATCTGGGGTCTGACAGACTTGTCTGAGGACCAACTCTGCCACTTCCAAGCTAAGAAATCTTGAGCAAGCTGGTCAGCTTTTCCAGACCTCATTTTTTCATCTACAAAATGAGAATGGTGATTATGACAATAAATGGTAGTAGTAGGACTAATAATGATTAAAAGCTAACATTTAGCAAGCATGTACTATGTGCCAGAGACTGTTCCAAACTCTTCACATAGATGAATTCACAATTACTTAATCCTCACACCAACCCTATAAGGTAGCTTTTATTATTATCCCAATTATGAGAAAGTTGAAGTACAGATAAGTTAAATAATAACTTGACCAGCTAGGAAGTGACAGAACCAGGATTTAATCTCAGGCATCTGGTTCCAGAATCTGTGCTCTGAACCATGAATCTATTCTGCTTCTTCTCAAGGATGTTAGGAGAAGTGACTGAATGTGATAATGTATTTAAAGTGCCAGCACAGGACTTTATTGTCTAAGTGTTCAATAATGGTAGGTATTGTCATCATTACTCATTATTATAGATGGTTCTGTAAAGCATTAACAACCAAATCCACTAAATGAGGGTAACCTTGCCAATGCTGTGCAGAAAAATATATGTAAATAAAGGCTACCTTCTACTGATAAAGCCCCTATGACCAAAGGGAGCTTACTGCCGTTTCCCTACCAGCCTGCTCCCTTTAGCCCAGTAGCCTCTGGGGACAGGCATGACTTACTCTTCCAGGCGGGCAAATTGCTCCAGGTTTCTGAGCCTCTGCTTCTGGTGCATGCAGGCATGTAGGGTCAACGGCATGATATCCAGGACTTTGAGGAGCCCAGAGAGGCGTTTGATGCAGGAAATGCTGTTGGCAAACACTAAGCTGCGGCCTGGATACTGCATCAGAAAGTAGTACAGATAGAAGTCTTTCTCATCAGTCTCGCAATGGATCTTGGTCTCTGTCAGCGCCTCCACTGTAGCCTCATTCCTAGTGAGGTCAATGACCTTGGGCTTGCCCCTCATGCCAATCTTCTGCATGAGGAGGTCAAGTTTGGCAGTTTTGTCCATTTTCTTGGTGTGCTTCTTATGAAGGATTCGGGCAGGAGCTTGGTGCACCAGGGTCAGTGTGGCAGAAAAAACAAGCGTCTGTCTCTTTGGGTTGTACTGGGAGTCATTTAGCATCTCTAGCAGCTGTGAGAGCTCAGCAAAATGGCCTTTCTCAACCATCCGGTCAGCCTCATCCACTACCAGGCACCTGCAGATCAAGAGAGACCCACATCACTGGTTCATGGCAAGATAGAGAATTATCTATAGCACACCCTACTCCCACCCAACCACATACATGTGCACACACACACTCTTTCTCTCTCTCTCATATACGCACACACCTACCCACTCCACTACAACCACCAGGGCCTGAACTAATCTCCCTCATGCATGCCTGGATTTCTAAAGGCCAGGATCTGGATGGTACCACACCATGGCACTCTGTTACAGGGAGAAGACATTGCACATACCACGTCACCTCAGGCTCACTTCAGAACAGGGCTTGAGGGATAAAGAAGAGGTACTATCTCTCACCTGAGCTGCCGAAGGTTGCTCAAATAAGAGTGCTTTTCTTTAATTAGCTCCCACAGCCGGCCTGGAGTGGCAACCACAATCTCAGGATGGCGGTTCAGCATCCTTTGCTGTTTCTGTGTGGACATTCCACCAACCAAAATAGCAGTTTTAATTCCTATGGGACAGAAAATAAAAGGGACACTATTATTCAGTCTGGCTGCTTATTTTCTTACATGGCTAACACAAGTACCCCCAGACTAGCAGAGATACTCACTAGCACAGCTCCCTGCTCCACAGGGGTGCTAATAGAGTTGTCCTGGCCTGTTGGTGCCATTCCTAAATGGCTTATCAAGTCTTCTGTGAAAGAAGACTACTTAGGAAATTAATTTATTGAATATACTTAATACTGTCTACTCCAATCTCATTTCTACTCCAATCTCATTTCTTTCTACTGCCTCCCCTCCCATTACAATAGAAGGATACTTACCTCCAAAGTTCTCGGAAAACTGAGCAGTGGTACATACAATGCTGGGAAAGGTGTTACCTGCAACTGTGACACACCTCTCCTAGGAAGCCCTTCCCATCCCCCTCAATTAGAGTTAATCTGAAGCTCCTCTAATTCCTAGTGTTCTGTTTGCCTCTGTGGTGGTAGACTTCTAACGATATCCAGTGTAGGAATGAACACACAAGATTCACACATGCAAAGTCCTTAGCAAAGTGCCTTGCACATAGTAAGAACTTGGTGATTAACTGTTGCTTTTATCATAAAATCAAAATTCCCACTGTTCAGCCCTTCCCAAAAGGAATTCTCTGATAATTAAGTTCTAATGCCTTAAGGTAGGAGTCTTAACTTTTCTTAAAGGGTCACTAGTAAACATTACTGGCCTTGTGAGCCAGATGGTCTCTGTCACAACTACTAACTCTTACTCAATTTTGCCTTTGTAGAATAAAAACAACTACAGACAATACATAACCAAATGGTAGTGGTTATGTTCCAGTAAAACTTTATTTACAAAAACAGGTAATTTGCCAATCCCTGCCCTAATCCATTATACTCAATAAATTAATTTCCTATGTATCCAGAATGGCACTAGTTGTGTATCATCCTTGGGAGAATTGAGAAAATGTCACTCAGTCGATTTTCTGTAGGGCTTATGGCAGACGAGAAATGTTTCCCTTAAGGGGCAGGAGCCACAGCTCATTCATCTTTACCACCCAGCATTTAGGATTAGCTCAGGAAATACTTATCAAATGGAACTAAACTCACCTGTAAACTTGGCCACGGCATCAATGTGTTGTTTGACCTGGACAGCCAGCTCTCGAGTGGGAGTCAGAACTAGTCCAAGCAGAGGATTCTTTGGATGCGCTAGAGAGGTGGCAATTCTGCTACTCAACTCTTGTTTTAACTTTCCAGTCTGCTCTTCATTAAACTTTTTATCTTCATCAACCTTTTCATCTTCATCTTCATTCTGTTTGGGGACAGGCTTCTCCTTTATCAGGGAAGAAGGCCCTTCACCAGCATCATCATCACAGAAGAGCAGTGCCTGGTCTGAGATAGTGGCACCGGTCTTGGCTCTGGCCTTACTGGACGGTGCACTTGCCTTAGCAAGCAGTGCTTCATTCTCAATTCCAGTCTCATTGGGCAACACTCCAGACTCAGTTTTGGCCTTGCTTTGTGGTTCAGTCTCAGCTTTGGCTCCGGTTCTGGTCTCTCCAGGTGGCTCTTTGCTGTTACTTGGAAAAGGGGCAGACTTCCTCTTCTCCTGCCACTGCAACACTGCATGAATCATTGGGATGGCAAAGGCAAGAGTTTTCCCACTTCCTTTGAAGCGAAGCAAAACAAAACAAAAAAGCACAGGGTAAATCAAAAGCATATTCTTTTGTCTGGAGTTTTTTATTTTGCACAGAATAAGGGACCCTAAAATAGCCAAGTGCCACCCTGCCCAACCCAAAGCTCCTCCACTCTGCACAGCTTTCCCCATAGCACTGCAACCAGAGAGAACCTCTAATTAGGAGCCTGAGGAAAAGTCTGGCAGACTGTCATTGAGGCCTTAAGTCAACAGTGATGGACCCACCCTCCCACAACCAGGCACCCTGTGCCAGTGCCTCAGGGCCTTCCCTGGGACCCAGGGCATGGAGAAGGGGACTGGATCCCCCTTCCACAACCAGGCATACTGTGCCAGCTCCTCAGGGCCCACCCAAGGGCCTGAGGCATAGAGAAGGGGACCGAACCTCCCTCCCACAACCAGGCACACCTCGCCAGCGCCTTGGGTCCGGCCCAGGGATCTGAGGAATGGAGAAGGAGACCGGATCACCCTCCTACCACCAGGCACACCATACCAGTGCCCTGGGGCCTGCCGTGGACCTGAGGCATGGAGAAGGGGACCGAAACCCCCTCCTACAACCAGGCACACTGCACCAGCACCTTGGGGCGTGCCTAGGGACCCAGGGTAAGGAGCTGGGGATCGGACACTCTCCACAACCAGGCACACTGCCAACACCACGGAGCAGGCCAAAAGCATCTCCATGTGGTGGCCCACCACAGCCACCATGATAACCATGGCTGCCATGAAGGTGGCTAGGTGCCACAACCACCATGCAGATGATCCACCAGCCACTGGAGTGAGTTGACACAAGGAGAGTCACCAGCAGAGATAAAGAAAGGAGAAGGATGTCTGTCTCCACAGAGCCCATTTCATAGTGACGGAAGAGACATCTGCTCTATGACAGTATCGGGGGACCTGATCATGCCTCTCAGCATTGGACAGATCATTTGGGCAGCAAATCAACAGAGTAACCATTATTCTTTCAGAGGGAGAGAAGAAATCTAGGGTGAGGGAGGAGGGGGAGATGAAGGGGGATGGGGCAGGATTGGACAAGGGGCACAAAGAACAATTACAATTTGTAACAATGTTGAACCCCAAAACTATGTAAAATCAATTTTGATTCAGTAAAACAACAACAACAACAACAACAACAAGACAAGCCAGACTGGGAGAAAAATTTGCAAATCACATATCTGAAAAAGGATGTGTATCTAGAACATTAAATGAATTCTCAAAATTCAGTAATAGAAGAATAACCCAATTAAAAAATGGGCAAAAGAACCAAACAGACACCACCAAAGAAGATTATACGGTTGACAAATAAGTACACAAAAAGATGCTCAGCATCATTAGTCACTAGGGAAATGCAAATTCAACTCACAGGAAATAATAAAAAGGGTTTTTTTAAACCTTTTTTTTTTTTGGCGGCTGGCTGGAAGTGAGATCCAAACCCTTGACCTTGGTGTTACAACACTGCGTTCTAACCAACTGAGCTAAATGGACAACCCCTGTAAATTTTTAAAAGTCTAAAATAAAATTAAAAGACTGACCATACCAAGTTATTGGCAAGAATATGGGTCACCCTGAACTCATAACACTGGTGGGTATGTAAAAATGGTATTCTATAATCACTTTGGAAAACTCCTAAAAAGTTACATTTTCAATAAGGCTTAGCCATTCCCTGCCTACGTGTTTAGGTAACAGAGATTAAAGAATATATCCATACAAGACTGGTACACAAATATTTATAATATCTTTATTTCTAATAGCCAAAAACTAGAAAAAATCATAAATGTCCATCAACAGATATATGAACAAACTGTGTTCTATCCTTACGCTGGAATACTACTCATCAATAAAAAGGAATGCACTAACGGTATTTACAATAACATGGCTTAATATCAAATTACACTGTGTGAAAAGCCAGATACCCCTCTCCCAAAAGTATATATTGTATGATTACATTACATAAAATTATAGAAAATACAAAGCAACCTATAGTGATAGAAAGCCTATCGGTGGTTGCCTGGGGAGGAACAAGAATGGTGGCAGGGCCAAGGAGAGAGGAATTACAAAAGAACCCAAGCCATCTTTTGTGGGTAATAGATATATTCATTATTGTATGGATAACAGTTTATCCACAGCCCTAAATGCATGGCCTGGCCCAAGATCCTGGATCTGCAGATTCACAGTATTCCATGGAGAAAGCCTGATAGGAGTTGGGGTTTGAATCCAAAGGTCAGACTCTGGCCACAGTGGCTCACAGAGACCTTGCCTCTCTGCCCTCCAGAGACCCACTTCAGGACTCTGCATATGCTACAGCAGTGTAGCAGAATGCTTAACAGCACACAGACCTAGCCTAGAATCCAGGCACTACCACTTTCAGATGCATAATTTTACGGAAGCTGTCTATCCTCTGTGAGGCCAAGCTTCCTCATCTGTAAAATAGGAATAATGCTATCTACCTTAGGGTGGTTGTGAGAACTGAGTTCATAAATATAAAGCACTTAACCCATGGATGACATATTCTAAATGCTCAGTAAATGTTCTAAGTTATTATTTCCATTCCCGTTTCCTGGAGTTTCCTCACTCTTCCATCTATGTGACTCTCATGTAAGACCTCAACCCAAGTTTTATGACCATTCTCCCAGAAACCGAAGGCACAAAGTGTCTTGTTAGTCTAATCCTCTATTGTACAATATATGAGGGTACTTCAAAAACTTTGTGGTAAAATGGAATTGATAGATAATACAAATCTTTCCATGAACTTTTTGAAGACACCTCATAGTAGCCACTAAAAACATATGGCTATTGAACACTTAAAACGTAGTTAACTCTAAATTGACGTATCCTGGGCAGGCTGGTTAGCTCACATAGGACAGCATGGTGCTGGTAACACAAAGGTCACAGTTTCCAATACCCGTACCGGTCAGCTGCCAAAAAAACAAACAAAAAAACCCCCAAAAGGTAAATTGACATGTGCTGCAAATTTAAAACACACACCATGTTTTGAAAATTTAGTACAAAAATAAGAATGAAGAATATCTCATTAATAATCTTACATGAATTACATGTTGAAATAATATTTTGATATAATTGTTTAAATAAACATATAATTAAAATTGATTTTCACCTATTTTAAAAAACTTTTAAAAAATATGGATCCCAGGAAATTTAAAATTACATATGTGGCTCACATTATATATATTTCTGTTGGATATTGTTTGTCTAGTTGGACTAATAGTTCCAGGCAGTACAAGATCCTTCCCCTAGTCAGTAGTCTAGTCTACCAAGCGAGTCAACCTTCATTACTTCCAAAAGTCTTTGCCCAAGAAATAAGAGAACCTTAATTAAACATAGCTTAGTCCTGTCAACTTACACCTGAATATGCTTACAAAATCCACCCAATGGCTATCCACCACTCAAGTCCTTCCGATGACAAGAAACTCACCAACTCCCAAAGCAGCCCTTTTTACCTGGACAACTCTTGAAAATTAGATAGCTCTTCCTTATACTGATGAAGATCTACCTCTCCAGAGAGCTGATTTTAGACTACCTTATCCCTTTGAGCCATTTTTAAAAAGGGCGAAAAATAGGAAAAATTACCATTTGCAGATAACTTACAATGTACTATGTAAGCTTTAGAGCAATGCAAGATGTAGATACTGCTGTATCTCAATTTTATAGTGGGCACTATAGGGCTCAGAAAGATAAAGTGATCTGGCTAGAGTACCAATCAGGAAGGAGCAGATTTCAACCCAGAGCTAGCTGACTTCCAAACACCTTCATTCAACATTGCTTTTGTGGTTATGTTCTCAACATTCCCCTCTCCCAGTCAACTAACCTATAAGCAGCTATAGGCTCAATCCGCAAGCAATTCTTCCCTGCCATAGTTGCCCTTACCTGTCTCAGCGGCCCCAAGGATGTCCAATTTGTCTCGGATGGCAGGTGCCAAGGTCAGGGCTTGGATTGGTGTGGGTGCAGAAAAGCCTAGAAAGCTGAGTGCTCGGAGAACTGGCTTGGGCACAAACAGGTTCTTCCAAGCTGACACGTTTGCCTTCTGGTCATGCACTTCAGGCACCCATGTCTTTGCTTTTTGGGGCACTTTAGAGGCAGTGCTCTGGGAAGACTCCAATTTTTTTTCCCCTTTCTTTTTCTTCTTTTTTGGATCAATGTGGACCAGGCTTCCTGATGCCATCTCTCCTACCTCTGGATCAGGACAAATGGTGTCATCTCTCTGGGGCTCTGGTTCAGCATCTTTGACTTCAAACTCTTTCTGGGTACTGGTTACTTCAGTATCCATATCTTTACTGTTCCTCAACTTGATCTTTTTCTTTGGGGAGCTACACTCTCCTTCCTCCTCTTCTTCTGAAGCAGCTTGTGCCTTTCTCTTCTTGGGCTCCTCTTTTGAGAAAAGACAGGAGGGATTCTTAGCAGGGGAGACCAACTGGTAATCTGTCAGTTCCTCAAAGCACACCAAGTCATCCATCTGTCCGTCTACAAACATATTTGGGTCAATCTTCACCTGCTTCCATTTTCCTACAACTTTGATTCCCTTTGTCTGAAATTTGCCATAGGTTGGTGACTTTGGCCCTGATTTTGTCTCCTTAAACTTCATGGCTGCTAAAAAGGAGAGAAATGTTCTATTAGGTTGATGACTGACACGCATAGGATTCTGAGGCAACAAATATTTTCTAAGCAGCTTATCAAGTTCCAGGCCCTGCAAAAAACTAAGGACTCAAAGATGACTTTAACACAGATGTTCCCAGCTACAGAAGATCGAAAAGGGAAAGAAATATATCCCCATAACAGGCAGATTGGCCCGGGACACAGAAGACACAGGAGATAGAGCAAAGACATAAGAGCTAGACCTGGTTTCTATTCTAGATCCAACCTACTACATGCGTCATCTCGGACAGTGCTACTACTCCTCTCTGAACCTCAGTGTTCTCATCTACAAAAATGTGGAAGGGGGCCTAACAATATCTAAGTTTTCTGTTTTAGGAAAATATGTAAAGCATGGAGGATAATGCCCGCCACACATAAGCCATTTTGAAGGCAAAGGAGAATCTGAGGGATTGTTTGTTTGCTGGGGAGAGGAGTGAGATTCATTAGAAGTGCACTGAGCTTTTTTCCTTCTCAATCCTTGCCTGTTCCACCACTCCAGCCTTTGCCAAATGGCTGAAAGCTCGTCCAGCTTTTTCATTACATTTTAAGTGATTTAAAGACCATTTAGACACAACTCGTTTAGGTGGAACAGATTCTGTGGAAAAGACAAAGGTAAACCTCGGTTCAAAACAGGACCCACCACTTGCCATCTCCGGGTTTGTGATGAACATAGTGATCTCTATGAGCTTTAGCTTCCTCGTTTGCAAACGGGGGATTATGAAGGTATTTGTCTTACTGGATCGTTATGAGAATACGAAAAGGTGACGCAAGTCAAAAAACCGCTTAGCATGGCGCCTGACGAGGGAAGCACGTTAGCACGCAGCGAAGCTTCGCCCACCGCACGAGCTGCGCCACGATCACAACCAACCGGCGTTCAACAATAGGGGGGGGGGCGGAGAGTGTCGCAACAATGG